AATAGACTTCCAACTAGTGGAGATTTATTTTAGTTCACAATACCTAAAATGCACTCATTACTTGAAATTACATCTAACTCTTTCAATTTTTTTTTTATATTTCTTCACCCAATATTTATACTCATAAACTAAATTTTCAATCCTTTAAAATTTCAAAACCTTTGAAATTGTTAAATCTAAAAATTCAAAGTCAAATCTATGTACATTGAAGAATATATGGATAAAATATTCACTTGCACCATTGTACTTTCATACTACATGGGTGCTTTTTAGAAATCCAAAAACTTCTTATTGATCTTCAAGGATCTTTTTTTAATTGGTCTTTATTTTGTTTATAATTTAGCCTCACTATGAGGAGTTATACCAATTTTTTTCCATCATAGTTCTTAATCCTTCCATAGTAAAAGCCATCATCTAAAACCTTAGTCTCTATTCTTATAGTTGTGATATAAGATTGCCCTAAAATCACCAAGTAAATAGTGGAGTTTTATACAAAGAAGTTTTGTTCCACCTCTACATCTCCAATCCTTTCTCAATCACTTATCTTCCTCTAATTTAACTTTTTAAATTTCTTTGAATTATCTATAGAAGGAAAGATTATGGATACTACTCTAAGCTAAAGTGAGAATAGATTTGCAACTATTACAGATCTTCATGACCTTGCTAACACCCTAAGAATAAAAATTTTACATATTTCTAATATGAATCATGAAAGTACAATGCCTATGCCTATAGAAAATTTTTAGAGTTTGCAGTAAGAAGTTATGCTGTTGAAAGAAGCAAGTAGATCAATTTTGCAATAAAATTGAGGCAATTTTGCTTCTACAAGTATAACGGGAATAAAGATTAGTATGCCTAAGAAGTTTGATGGAACAAGATTAAAATTTTCAAGATTTCTACAATAAATCAAGCTCTATTCAAAGTTACATCTTTTCCAATACCCAGATGGATTTACTCAAGTCATATTTATAGGTATACTTTTATCAAGAAGTGTTTTTTTTTTCATTTGAAACTTTAATAGAAAAAGATTCTTCACTCTTTTATGATTTGAATTCATTCTAAGAAGTGTTTGTGGCTACATTCAGAGAAAGTGATTGAAAAAGAATAGTAGAGAGTAAGCTCATATCTTTAGGACAAGGATCATGGTCAGCCACCATATATGCTGTTAAATCTCAAAACCTTGCTTGCGACATGGACTACAATGACAAAGTCCTTATCAATCAATTTTGATTTAGATTGAAGGATAATGTCAAATATTTATTACTGACAATGCCAAAAGTAGAATCTTTTGAACAATTTATTGCTCAAGCCATTGCATGCAATAATCAATTATTTCAAAGATATCAAGAACAAAGATTTGACTAGAGAGGAACAGATCAAATAATGATGGCAGTTCTCAAGTTTTCAAAAACTTATTCATTAAGACCAGAACTAATGTAAATTAATACACTATGTTTTAAATTCCTCACAGAGCTGTAAAAGATTTGACAATGTCAAGAAGGCTTATGCTTATATTGTAGAGAAGCTAAACACACTACTCAATATTATCCAAAGAAACAAAAAAACTACAAAATGAGAAGAATGATTGCCAAAAAAGACAATCTATTAGAAAACGAGTTTTTCCAGATACAATAAGATCCATGTAACTTGAATCTTGTATGACTCATGGTATAGGTCTTATTCTCTCCCTAGATCTCTCACTTTGTTTTATAATAGAAGTTTATTTAGTATCAAAAAATCATAAAGTCTTAACTTTGTTAAATTCAAGAGCTTCATTTATGAAACTACTAAAAACCTTTTCTATAAGATATCATCAAATTTATCTATTTTATTTTATTTTTTTATTCATATTATTTAAATAATTATTTTAAATAAATATATATATCTATAATAATTAGATATATATCATGTGAGTTGGACAAGTGTTAGAATTTTTATAGAACATCACCATGTAGCTTCTAGTTAGCTAATATATATAGAAACAAGAATGAAGCCTTTTTTATTCTTATCAATTCTTTTCTAGCTTCTAGTTTAGTTTTAAGAGTTTTTAGTTTTTTTAGTCTTTGAAAATAGTCATTCTAATTTCTTCTTGAATATACTTAATTTCTCATTTTTATTTTTTTATCTCTCTTTGATATATATCTCACTTGTTTATATATCTCTTTTAAGTTCTTGTCCTTATCAAATTGATAAGAGTACACTTATAATATCAGAGCTTTGATTTTTCTTGATTAAGAATAGATTTTTTTTTCTTCATAAAATATAAGCATATTAGAAGTTGCACATTATCCATTTCTAAATTAATGGTGTTCTTAGAATTTTTTTTATTCTCAAGTCTCACCTTCTACTTGTCTTGAGCAATATTAACTGTCTTCTTTTCTATTATGTTATTATGACAAAGCTTGTTAAATTAAAAAATACAATGACATAAATGAAAGAAAAAATGAGAAAATTAATACTTGCAATGTATTAAATAAATTTACTACCACAAAGAACAATAAGATTGGCTAGAAGTGAAGATATAGAGATGATTGGAGCTACTTCAACATCTATACCAAATCATGTTACTTCTTCTATAGTGGAATTTCATTCAATTTTTAAGAAACTAAGAATTGTTTTATTTTAGAAGTATAATCATACAATATCAAAGTTTTGAGGATTCATCAATCTAGTATAATTACTAATTGAACTTTAATCTCAAAGCTATCCAATTTTAGAATCACAAGTTAGGTTTATTAGAATACTACTTTTGAACTTTGCTTTATTATGATTTTTATCTTTTCTTAAAAAATATGATCTAATATTAGAAAATTTGAAGGCTTTTTTAGCAAAATTTTAATCTATATATAAAAAATAGAATATAATTTGTATTGTAACTAAAAAACTTCATATTTTATAATAAAAAAATTGATTAATAATATTATATGCTTCACAAATTTGATAACTTATAATTGATATCAAATAAAATAATGTTGCACTCATTAGCTAATTTTTCTATGCATTATAATATGAATTAAAGAAATTTTTGCTAAACTTATTTGATCCTCAGACATTGAGTCAAGTAATCAACTTTGTTATAAAGTGTAATAATTGGCTTTTTGAATTTTAATCTTAGAATCGTATAAGTGAGTCTTAATGTTTTTATAATTCAATGGCAATACCAATGCCTTTTCAACATATAAATTTAGAAGTAGAAGACATACAAATTGACAAAATATATTTCAAATCTCTTACTAAGTAAAAAAAGACTTGTCATCATCAAGAAGAATTGTGCATATATTGTGGCAAACCTAAGCACACTGTTCAACATTGTCCAAAGAAGCGACTTAACTACAAAATGAGGAGTATGAATGTCAAAGAAGATTATATTAAAAAATAATTTTGTCAAGCTACAATAGAAATCTTGCAATTGTAATCTTATACAACACCTACTGAAGGTCATATTCTCTCTTCAAAATACTCTCATTGTTTTACAATTGATGTTTGTTTAGGACCTAAAAATCACAAAGACTTTGCCTTGCTAGATTCAAGAGCTTCGACTTGTTTTTTAAATAAAGAGTTTCTTAAAAGACATAGCATAATTTTTGTAAAAAAATACTAAATCAATACATATAGAAGTCATAGATGATCATTTGTTGTCTTAATAGCCTTAGCTTTATGGGTCAATTTTAATTTATATATATATATATATATATATATATATGTATAATTTTTGAAATTCACAATGTGAAATCTTCAAACTAACAATGAATTTTAGGATTGAATGTGTAATAATCTAAGACTTTAATTATTATTATCAATAATAATCAATAATTTTTTTGTACTATTATTATTACATTTACTTACAAAAATCTTGTACTCTAATAAAACTCAAATCTTATATAAACAAATACATATGGCAAAACATTACTTCTATTTTATCAAAAATATTCTCATATAAATGTAATCAAAGCACCTAAGCAATTCAATATATTATTATACTCCATCTCTATTTTATTAACCTTTAAAATGAGATACTACTATCATATAAAAGTAAGCAGATATTTTTCACATCATTTTGCATGAATCTTTTATTTTTAAAAGAAAATACAATCGTTCAAATGTAGAGGCACACATTAAAGTCAAGAGAATTCTAACAAAAACCCATAATCTGTGATTTCACATTTTGTTTTACTTTGTTGTTAACTGTCTACACTTGCAAAAGTAATCTAGCCATGCAACCTTCGAAGACAAGGAATTGAAAAAGGCTTTCTTCAAAGCATGAAATAAACTTGCTTTAACAGTGAACAAAGTACACTTCGACTATTGTAAATGTGAAAGTAGAGTCATTAGAAGTGGATAACAAATAAGAGAATTGCACAAGGTCTTTCCTAGCATACATGACAAAAATCTCATAGTATGATGCCACCATTATTAAACTGCTTTAATGCTCTATAATTTAATTCGCTTAAGACAAATGTTAGAATCGTTCAAGTTTGGAAGTATTACTGTAGAAGTTGTTGAGCAGATAAATATTTTCTCTTTCTTTGTGACACATAAACATATCTCAAAGTTGTTCGATAATCATTTTTAACTATGAAGAGTTTCTTCAACATCATAGAATTAAATTTCTGAAACAATCTTGCCTCAATTTTCTGTTGATGACACATAAAAAAGTGTCACATATTTAGAAATACAGCTGAACATTCCAGCTTATGAACGCCCTTAACATTCCAAATTACATACCGACAAATGGCAAAAACGAGACCACGCCAATATACGGAAAACTCAAGACTGACAGAAGAGGAAGACGGAAGTACTGTAAGATTATTTACTACGCAACTTATACAACTAACCTTCACTTCATCTTACTGTGATGGATATTGCCCAACATTCGATATTCTGAAGTACTGCGACGTGGTGCATGAGACGTGATGCATACTTTGGAAAAAGCTGCTACAGATATCAACTTGAAAACAGAGCCTATTAACCAGTAGAACCAAGGATAGACATGTGGAAAGTAATGAAAGTGAACGCCCCAGGCTGAAGGTTAGACCATGAGGGGGCTACAATTAATGACCACGTCGGTAAACAAGTTGAACAGTTGTTCAAGCTGAACAAGACCAATTTGGGTTGCCGATGTAATGGTAGTCCATTACAAGCACGTATGGACCATGCATATATGAGCTCTGGATACGTATGTACACTGCTGTCTAAATTCAAGTATGCTAACTATGCTACACCAAAAAGGCTGGAAGGATAGACATGCTATAATACCCCTTGAGCATTTGATACCTAATTAGACTTACAAACCAGAAACAATGTACGTCTCTCCTGTGTGCAGAGGGTTCTCTCCTTACAATCATCCAGATATTAACTGCATGCAAGTCCTGAGCAAAGAAAGTAACCAACGTGAGCAACATGTGAGATGGCTCAGTCCTGATTTCCTTTTCTATTCTTACTAGTACTTCCTGCTTGTCTTCTGGCACTATCTTAATCTTTCAATATTGCAGAAACCAGGACAGGGAGAAGAGTATTTAACTGCACGTAGTATGAAGGAATTTACACTGCACAAAATAATAGGAGAAAGAAATTTACCTGTAACCCATAACTTTCTAATGGAAATTAGCGGCAGCTGGGCAGAAAACTTTTCATGGCGGTTACTGAGCGTTTATAAGAGTAGCCTCTCGCCAAATGAGAGTTTTAACATGATCGACAGAGAGATTGGGCAGGTAGGCGTCGAAGTCGAACAGAAGATGACAGGTTGGCTCATCACTGACGTCGTGAAGTGCTGACAGATAAGGATGAGCCAAAGCATCTTCCGCAGTTATCCTGTTGGAGGGGTTGAATCTCAGCATCTTCTCGGCTAAGTCGCAAGCTGCAGCAGAAGTTTGTGGGAACCTCGAAAACAAGGGCTTTCTTTCCTGACCTATCAAGGCCATTTGTATCCTTTGCCGAGCATCCGGATTCTGCAGGAACGACAAGTCCGAAGCATCAGGAGTCCCTAGTAGCTCGGTGATAAGTTTCAAGTGATTCACGGGATGCTCTTGTCTTGACCGGATTGGGAACAAAGGTTGACCTGTGAGCATCTCCATAAAGATACAGCCCACTGACCACATATCAACAGCAGCTGTGTACATTCGGCTCCCAAGCAAAAGCTCCGGAGCTCGATAAGGTCGAGTAACAACGTACTCCGTAAGAAAATCATCCTCTGCAGAGGTTCGAGCCAAGCCAAAATCACAGATCTTGAGTAGACAATCGTTGCAGTTGATGAGAAGATTACTAGGCTTCAGATCGCGGTGTAATATATTAGCTGAATGAATGTACTTGAGGCCCCTCAGAAGCTGATAAAGCAGGAACTGGCAGTGGTATTCGTCGAGCTTAGTTGATCTCACTATCTGATGAAGGTCTGTATCCATGAGCTCATTTGCAATATAAGCATCCTCAAAATCTTCAATGTTTGCAGGCACAATAATATCTCTGATAGGAATGATGTTGTCATGCTCAGTGTGCCGGAGCAACAAAATCTCTCTAAGAGTGCGCCTCGCTGTTGTGTGGTTCTGAAAGGCATTACCAATCTTCTTTATGGCTACCTTCTCCCCAGTCTCCTTGTTTGTGAAAGCACACACATCGCCATATGCTCCATGGCCAATAGGACCAATCATGACGTACTTATCATATACTTCAAACTTATCGTCCCTCACATAGTACTGTGTGTACCTCATTCCTTGTAAAAGGTTTGGCACATTTTCAATAGATGACTCACATTCCATATCCGGACATGAGTCCTCCAAAACTTGATCCTCTGCATCCACTGGCTGGCAGGTTGCTTCTCCACCGCTCTCCTCGCGTGACTCGCAATTCTGGTCTCCTTGACGCTCTACAACGGCGGTATCCTCCAAATCAAAGGTTTTGCAAAGAATCTCGTAATTCATCTCTGTAGAAGTCTGAAGGAGTGCAAACCAAACCACAAGATAAATTCCAGACCATAATGATAATCTGAACATGTAAAAACCACATAAAAAATAGAAATTCTGTAGTAGAGAACAGATTTTGAAGACAGAATTAGATTGGAAGACCAGGTACCCAATAACGAAATTTGAATAGCTCAAAAGAATGTATTTACTTGTGTGTTTTTCTGCGTTGATGATGATCTAGTTGCAACTTTATACCTACAAAAGATACATCATGAAATCAACAGAAACTTCAAACAAGATTGAACTCTGAAAGTCAACATCACCCAAAATGCAAAGAAAGTAGTACTAATAGCATGGCATGTCTATTATAACCTGTTTCAATTACCAGAGAAATGGAGGGAATTACCATCGAATGGGAATTAATATGTAATCACAACAAACATCCCAAGCTTCCTCATTATACTGTATTATAATCTAGTACTTTTCATTCTAAATGCATCTGAACTTCGAAGAGTCAAGCTCTTACCCTAAACTTCCATTGTAAAACGCCAACGCCCTGCTGTTTCTTTTGTGCACAGCTACAAGTATTGCTTTCATGTTATTCTGCGCAAGACCAATCAGAATCGTGTCAAAAAGGAAAAGAAAGTTCAGCAAAGCCCAGGATAAGAACACAGGTTTATGTGCTTTCAACACGTGGACATGCCAAGCTAATATATGCTGAGAATTGATTTGGTGGAGAAGCAGACCTTTCGAGCAACCAACTCAAGCAACTGCATCAGAAACTTGCCGAGTCCTACCCCTTGCACTGTCCTCTTCAGCTGCATTTCATATACATATAGGACTGGAACATCGTGTTCCAAACCGAATTTGAAATGAACAAAGCCCACCATTGAGTCACCTTCATCCAAACTGCTCGCTTCAGAGGTAGAGTTTTGCTCAACGAAAATGAAGCGTGCCTCATGGGATACCATTTCCTCCTGCTTCGTTTTCTCTTCAGCAGGCCATTCATGGGGACCAAATAACACTTGCATGTTCATCTGCTCTGCAAAAAGCGAACTGCATTAAGGACCAGGCAAAATGGTCGGTCCAATTCAAGATAATTACTTTGTATTATATGGAAATACGAGTTGCGTTTCCTTTTAATGCATGAGTAGTGCAGATGATGCCTGACCATTAAAAGCGCGTGCATACGTTCTTTCGTAGAAGCAGACTGAGCTGAGCCGGTCCCAGCTTCCAACATTAAGATTAAACCTGAGGAAGAAGAAGGAGAAGAGGAAGAAGTCACCAAGTGATTCAGTATGGAATACCTATTGACAAAAATTACATACACACGGTTCAATTTCCAATCCAGGAACATAGCTGTTGAGTATTCATGCAAGATCAAGACGGAAAGGTGAGGAATACTCAATACAGTTAATTATCTAATACTGCACCTGAAACACCACAGGAAATCTCGCAAGACTCACCATTTCTATTGTAGGTACGAAATGAAGGGAACTCTTCTATCAGGTTGGGCTTGGCAGCCGCAGCTCTAACTGCATTTTCAGCCTCTGCAAACTCCTAATTCCAACACAAAAGTCAAGTACATCCACAATTAGCTATATACACGGAAGCTAGCTACGTGAGCCCAATCTAAAAAGATTAGTTTAGGGTGGTGGTAATTGTAAACAGAAAACGAGGCAATCTAAGCTTACTTTCATCGTTCTACCGTGTCTCCAGACTAGACGAAATTTCGGCTGTAAGATCAATTGCAAATAGACTTCCCTCTCTTCTTAAAATCAAGGCACCCCACATTGCTGTTGCCAATTACCGCACACAGAAAGGGATGAAGCTTGACGTTACAGGTTTCAAGGAAGAGCATTTGGAAGGAGAATCGCAATTCGATGCGCTCATGGGAAAAGTGAGGGAGGAGAGAAAGCAAATAAAAACCTGGGATCAACCATCCCTCGTCACAACCCCTCCTCCAACCAGTAAAATTGAACCGACAAAATCCGAGATCAGCCTCAATTCGCCATGTCCATTCAATCAGAGCACCACGAATCCAAAGTGACACACCGTCTCTTCCACCCGCACAACATCCAACCACAGACTACCCTACTGCCCCTCTCAACCACCATCTCCCCACTTCACAACCCACAAATTCTCCTCCATTCACCAAAATCACGAAACGCCGCAAATGGCCACCACCCAGACAAACTCTCAACACCCCACTCCGCAACCACGCGCGACCCCATCCGCACCGACTAGGCAAAGTCCAGAGAGCACTCACATGTCGCCTGCTCAGGAGCCTCTTCTGCCTCTCACTCCCCTCGCCATACTGATAATGCTTGCCGCGATCCATGCCTGCCACCTCTCTGATCACTGAAAATCCACAGCCGCGCGCGGCCTGGCTCCCGTTCAGATCAAACCACAGCAATCTGGCACTGCGGGGCACCACTCTTGTGCAAGGAGAAGTCACAGATCCGCAGCACAGTCGCGAGCCAACAGCTGGAACGCGACTAGAGTTGAGGTGCAACAGTTGTGAATGGGAGGTGGGGGCAACAGATGTGGGCTACGCTGCTGGGCTAGAAAAACCGGAGAGACAAACAAGCACGAAGGGAACCCACATGCTCATGCACATGGGAAAAGGGGCGCTCAAGAGCAAGGGCGTAGTGAAGCCTCCTCGTCCTCGCCCTCGCCCTCGTCGGCTTCAGCGTCGCGAGGTGAGTCGCCTATGTGCCTCAGGGATGGTGAAGTCTCTAATTGCTGTTTTTGTAAAGATTTAGTTCTCATCGCTTATTTTTTTGAATTCAACAAGTGGGTGTTGTGAATTCATGGTTTTGGTTCGGTTTTCATTGGTGAAGAAATCCTAGTGTTAACGTAATATAATTTGATGTATTTGGTGTAGCACAAGGGTACGCATATGATGTGAGTTTGTTTTTATTTCTATGTATGTGTGTACGAATATATATATATATATATATATACACACATATGTAAGAGATATTTGTACTTAATTATGTCCACCTCTTAGCTGTGAAAGTATCGTCTGCGTCCTCACCCCCTTGCGGTGTGAACAAGTCACAGAAACAACGCGGCAGATGTGTGAATTTTTTGAGTGAGGCTGATAGCTCAGGCAGCTTCGAAGGAAACATGAAACAATTTTTGTTACAATCTCCACACACGGAGGGGGGTGACGAAGGATCAACGTCGCAACGGCACTCTGCGTCAATTGTCGATGAAGATCGACATGATCACGAGAACGGATTCGGCACTGTTGCGATTGCCTTGCCTTTTTTTCAAAGCCCGGTCTGGAGCCCATGCTCTAGTGACGAAGGGTTAGCCGCTACCGTCCAACCCCGCGCTCTCAAATTCATTTAGGATTCATCTATAATTGCGCTTATTTTGGGACGCCATCGCCTGATCGGTCGGTATCGGGAACCTGAATCAGCGGCAGCGTGACTGCGAGAATTTTGCGGGGAGCCCATCTGGTACCACCGTACGAGGCTGCGACCCCGAATCTTCGAGGCTGTTTGCGCGGAGTGAAGACAATAGAAATGGCACCTCCCTTGTCTTCGGGAGAGCTGCTGCCTCCTTTTCTTGCTGCAACTTTGAAATCAGTCGGACGGAGTTTTTCCTTCGCTGGAGAGTGGCTGTCGCCGTGTTACATTGGGCGACCGGTGGTTGAGAGAGCCGCGTCGTTTTGTTTTAGTTTTTGTGTCTCGTGTTTTTTGTTTTGTGAATATTTGAAATTCATCTCGGTTGTTTGTCCCAGTGGCCTCCGATTGTTACCGAGGTGTCATTCCTGTTGTTTTCCGGAGGCGATGTGTGGTTGTAGGAAGTAGGGACAAATCATGTTTCGAAGTGCGTGCCACTTGCTTCAGTAACTGTCACCTTCACTTTTCCCCTTTGTAGGAGCTCTGCGTACTCTCCCAAGAGCTTTCAAAGTGTGATGACCCGATCCCTTCTCGGTTGCATTTTTAATTGGAAAGGATGATTTCGGTTTGATGGGATAACGATTACTTATAGTATTTAAGGTAAATGTATGAGGATTTTCCCTCCACCTTCTACATTGTCTTTAAATGATGCTGTTTTATATCTTTCTGTAAATAGGGGAGTGATTCTTTGAGTGCTTTTAACACATGCTCAATGGTAAATTCAGTTTTAATATTGATCTGTTGCATGGCATATGCGAAAGAGAAATGATATAACGAAATGTGACCTGCGATATATTTGACCAAGTCAAACCATTATCCACAAATGGTGCCAAGTGAAGGTGGATGAGAGGGAAATAAATTCCTTCCATGTTGGATAATTTCTATTTGTTCTACATACTAATTTTAGATAGCGTGAAACAAAAGTGGAGTCAAACAGGGGGTCTGGTGATGTTCGTGGTCTACTTTTATCTGTTTATTAGTAAGGAGGTAAATTCTTCACACACAGTATAATCATGTGTCGATATGTTGCACCGTTCAAAATCTTACTCTCCTCAATACAAATTCGTTCTACAAGCAAGCAGCTCAAACCGACTCGACGATTTGGAAGCGGTCCTTCGGGGCAGAATGGTTTGTATGCAGCAAGGTTTGACGCCGCTGTCAATGGGAGACACCGTCCCTGCACTTGGTTCTTCAACTCTTGTTTTTCCTCTCTCATCCTCCAAGTATGACGAAATCTTGTCAATGAATCTAAAGTCAAAATCTTTGAGTCAAAGGTGCCTCAGCACGGTCGTTCCTTTCGTGGCGAAATTTTAATATGCTTGGCTCAATGACCTAAATTAACACCGAGATAAGTGAACCATGCTGCTACAAAGAAACCCGATTACGGACTAGAAGAATGTTCGTCCAGCTTAGATCATATGCATCACAATCTGGTCTGGACACAGATTGGGTATCATGTAAGCCTATGTCCTCGTGGATTTGCTCAAGGGTAAATTCCAAAACGTCCAAACTTTTCAATTGCCTTAAAGCCTCTATATTGTGCTTCGAGAAGAGATGTACTGTCAACTCGGAGCAAAATGTCTTTCACTTTCCCAGTTGTATGTACTGAAAACGATTCTCTCGATGATCAGTAATAAACTGAATAGGGATCCAGCGTCGACAATCATTGTGGATTTCTTGAGCATCTTGACGTGAGATGTGTGTAAAATCTCTAGAATTGTTGGCAAAGGCAAGGTCTGAAGGTTCAGGAAACTCCGCGTAATCGTTCCTAATTGCTCACATCTCACAGTGTATCTGAGCATATTAAATATATTTATTCCTCTTTGCGATTCAGGAACTTTCGATGGGGGCGGCATGATGCTCATAGAAACTTCCTAGTAAATGGACTCTACTTTCAACATATAGTGCGGATTTTCAATGTGTAACGGAACTTTCAGTTCATCCAGGAAGCACTGAGAATGGGGGAGGAACAACTTTACAGTTGTCGGAGCGGTTGCTTTGTTGAGACAGAGGGGCATGGTAATTTTGTAGTTTGACATATTCGATGTGTGAACAGTGCTTGTGAGGAGTTGAGATTCTGAGGGCTTGAGAAATTAGAGGATGTAGTGTGATGGGAAGTCTGAGCAGAAGGTTGATGGTCGCCCTGTGGATGGAGCGTGAGGGGAACGGATTTGATTCTGTCCACTTGGCTCGGCGATTTAAAGATTGGAGAGATGCAAAAAGAACCGTTGTTGGTTGAGCTAGGATCATACAGCCCCTCGCAGAGACGTCGGTAAATGGATTGAAAAGCCCAGAGCTGTCAAAATTAAGCCGTTCTCACATTCCAGATTTGACTACTGCTTTTCATCTTAAACGTCGGAGGGACTTTGACCAGAAGGTCTGGACTCTTTTATTTATTTTTCCTCACCAAGAAATTTACAAACAAGTTTGTAATGGTGTTGATCCTGACGCGTCTCCAAGAACTTCAGTGACAAAAATTTGAATTTGGTATAATGGGAGACCCGAAATATGATTAACTGTTGGCTAACTAACATCGTCGGAAACTGAGACAAGCTCGATACTGAGAGCACATTACATGGTCTTTTCACAGTAGAATACCTAAGCACTGATAGTCGTTTATACATTGATAAGTCCTGGCACGCGACACACCAAATGTAACACCAAGTCGTATTCAACATGCCGGAAGTGTGTTCAGAACCACTGAAAGTGTTCTCCTTACGCCAAAGATAAAGCAACAAGAAAACCTTGCCATTGTAAGGCGAAAGACAGACTGCAATAGAAAGTCTTAATCTGAGTGTTGTCTGGTAACTGGTTAAGCTTCATGAAGAGAGAAAGCGAGGCCAAGCACCAATATCTGAACAACTACGGCCTCTATTCCGAGAGGCACCACCCCAAGTTTCGAATCGGTGCCGCTCTTCATAACCTTCACAAGGCTTGAGAAGCTCACTCCAGAGCCAGAACCCATAATACACTTCCAGTGCATTTAGAAAACTTTTAATGTTTACATCACAGTAACTAGACTTGAGTGCTCATGCTGTAGTGCATTCTCAAACCACATCATCTCCGCAACCCAAGTTCTATGTACCATAGTTCTTCCCTTAATATCTTCCTACCACGACCAGAAGGAAAATGCTTCTTTCTAGTGATTTACACAATTGCATCGTATAACTTGCAACAGTTATTCTGGTGGCAGCCATTTTCTGAAAAACTAGAGCTGCAGGATTCAGAAGTTGAACATGAGCAAGCAGGGTTCTATTTAGAGTACCAATCGCAACCAAATTGAAGATATCATGTTTGAGCATTCGGGATATCCACATTCGGAGCAAGACGCTTCGGGGATTTGTCACGCGCGTGGAAGCTATGTGATGCTCCATAGGTGCTTGCTTATACGCTCTTTTTTCGAAAGCCAGCGGAGCAAAGTGCAGTCGATTGAAACACATCTACCAGCATAGTTAACGTAGAGATCAAGCTTCAAGTTTAGTTTGCGAGCTGGATCTTACGTCGCGATGGACTGATCGCAACAGCTTCGATTGCTTCTTCATTCCACGCCGTGTATGCATGCATCCAGCACCAATGACATCCTTTTGAAGTAGGCGACACTAATAAGTTAGTGTCGGAGCTTGCCCTTGCTGGCTTTAAGTCGGATCAGGGAAGGGGCAGAGATCACCTGATGAGCTTCTGTGATGGAAGAAAGGGTGTCTGGTGCAGGCGGAGAAAGACTCCTTGAGGGGGAGAGAGGAGTGTCTGAGATGTTCTCGTCCTCCAATGATTTATTTGTAGACCAGGAGGATGGTGAAAGATATACGATGGGCGCATCTTCGGATGTGTCCATAAATTGTTTCCTTGTTCTAGGTTTTACCACCGACAGCTGTCTGCGTACTAACGAGGAGGATACCTGTGCGACTGCTGTAGTAGCAGAGGATTCTCGCGGTGCTTCCTGTGGAGGAGTATAGTCATAGTTCCGTCCTCTTCGGCTAGAACGGGCAACGGAAGCCTGCGGTGCTTCCTCTAGAGGTGATTCACTGTAACTCGATCGTCGACGGTGAGAAACAACGGAGGGCGCCGCAACAGTTTCCTCCGGGGGGATGTAACTCAGCCCCCTTCTGTGATGGAGGCTTACTTTAGTCTTGATCTCTGACACTGTTTCTTCGACCCTTTCTGTCCCTGGCTTCTCAGTTTCTTCTGCCGTGTCAAAGTCACCCGCCCCCTTACTGGCTTTGAGTCGCACTAAACTCGGTTTAGAGGATGGTCTGTGGTTTTCGACTGAAGACAGGGATATTGCCTCTTCCTTCAATTCTGCCTTCACAACCTCTTCTGGTTTCGTGACCTTCTCTGTTTCCTTCTCCGTACCTTCTTCGATCTTATCCTCTGTCTTCAACGGGCTTTCCTTAGTGCCTTTCATGAGACTCAACCCCCCTTGCATTTCTTCCAGCTCCTTCCTGAACTCTAACCATTCAAGGAACTGTTTCTTTACAGTCGTATTGAATTTCGTCAGTGACGGTTCATTCTGAGGCTTGATCTTCGTGCCTGGCTCCGCTAAGCCGAGCAACTCCTCAACTTCCTCCTTGAAGTCGTTCATCTTGGTCTCAAAATTAGGCTTCGCAGCAACCAGTGGCTCTTCGATCTCGCCGCAAAACTGGGCTTTGCGGGTCTCAAAGTAGCGACTGGTGGTATACGTCATGCAAACTTCCCCCTCAATCCTCCACCTCAATTTCCTTCCCTCCCTCTTCTTAGGAAACCGCCACATCATGGTATCAGAAAATTCGCCGCTAGTAAATTGCACCCCACCTTCACTTGTGAACGGAAGCCCATCCAAGGGATTACTAGTCACTCGCCTTCCCCACCTCCACATAGAGTTAGAATCCGCCATGCGAATAGGGTTGAACCTGTCAAATGGAACTCCTTTCAGGGCTTGCAGTGTCCACTGAAAGCTGCCTCCACGATCGTCATCCGGCAATGGAACCTGCTCAAACCTCCATGGCTTGCTCTTCATCAGGATACTTGACACTTGCCCTGCACCGACACTGAAACCGGCTCCGAGACCCGCCTTGCCAGCATTCGTGGCACTAGATCCAAGGGTGAGGCTCTCTCCTTTTCCAACCGTGTACTCGTTGTTCGAGGACGAGTTAGTTAAAGTCACGCTTGAACCTTCGTTAGTAAGAGGCAACACTGACACCCTCACTCGAGTGGGGAAATGGCCCATTGCTTCTTCATCCCAACGAGAATTATCTGCCTTGAATCGTACTTGCTTCACAGCAACTGATACCTACAGCATTGACATCCGAAATGAAGATTTTAAAAAGTTACCAACATTTTGCAATAAGGTAGAGAAGTAGTTGAATTGCGTTCTTGGGTTACCTACCTGTAAAAAGTCTGTATGGGATACGACTGTTGCCAGGAGCTGAATGCTCAATTCAGCTGTCTGTCCATATAGTATCGTCAAGTGCTTGTACCGGTCCCTCGGCTCTTCATCCTGTGATTTCCAAAACGATTTAGAAAACATCAGGAAAAGTGGAGACAAATGTGTGAAGATGACTTGGATCGGGGATATCGAATTCAGCATTACAGAATCCAAATCATACCGTAGCGGCAGACTCAACAGGCATCATCAGCACCGGCACTTCCAGTTTGATTTCCCAGAATCCGTTGGCCCCCTCATATTTACACTTGGGCTTCCCCACGTCTTTCCCAGTCTGTTTACTAACACAGCACTTCCAGAGTGTGTACAGCATGGCGTCGTGATAATTCTTCGTGCTGTACTCTTCCACCAATTGGTACGCGAGCATGTCCATCTTTGCCCGGTTGGCGATAATCATCTTCAATTCCTGGTCCAAGGCAGGGTTGTCGCTGCTTTCGGGGCAGTCGATGAAGAAAGACAGCGTTTCCTTGAGAAAGAGGTTATCCAGCCATCTCCTCTTCAGCAAAATCCTGAAAACGTCGGCGTGACATTGGGAAGCTGCAATTACTGATAATCTCCACAATAAGTACGTCCTGTAGCACGAACGGATTACCTCGTTATGGTGTTCGCCAGAGCCCGACAGTGAACGCAAGTCCCACCCCACTTTGAAACACGGCATCGCAGTAGGGAGCATCATCTTCATCGACCACAGCTTCTGAATCCAATAACTATCTGGCGGGTTCTCTGGATTCTCAACAAAAGGGTAATATTCAGAGCCTTCCTTATCCTTCCAATTGGTAGCCAGCATGTATCCCATCATCGCCGTGCTCGCCGACACCATTGGCCGCAAAAGCTCCTGCACCACTTCGACGTTCCCAGCCTCGGCAGCTTTCACGATCCCAAACGCATTGAATAGGGCCACCAACAAACTTCCGCTGCAGTGCTGGTTCTGAAGCTCTCGAAGAGCGCGCACGCAAATAAGATACCCCTCACGGCATGCCAGCACGAGTGCATGTCCAACAGCTTGCGGCTGTATATCCGAGTCTGTTGAAACAAGCTTCGCTAACTTCCGAGATGGATCGAGAAAGTCTCCATCCAAGACCCTTCGCCATGCTTCCTTTACGTGTATAGCTTGTGCATCTACAAGCGCTATGGTTAACACGTTGTCCAGATTAGGTGCTTCTTTAGATTTGATAGCCCCGCGCTCAGCCAGACGAAGTGCCTCTGCCAGGTTCATCATCCCCAGCCCATTCGAGACGAACCCCATTCTCGTTCCTAATTACGCACAGCTCCCTCGTAGCCAGATTTCAGTACTCACTTCTGAACCGCAAAGGTATGCAGATACATCAGTACTAGTCCGCACCTGGTTTGCAAAAAGTGCGGGAACCGATTACTATTAGTGACTAATAATACAAAATGAATCTCAGCGGTGGTTCTGTCGTGAATAATGATCATCGTCACAACTAGCCGTCGGGCAGCAATTACACGATCCTGAAGACCCAGCCACATAAGGCTAGAGCCCAGCCCAACTTGGGGATCAATACCGGAACGTCTTAGGAAAAAAATATAACAACGATGGTAATAATGATGGATGTTGAACTTATCCTTAGAAATTCAGTTCGAAACTTATGTTGATGAACGTATCTGATTTTAACGAAACACATTCATCGAAGATCTATCTTAACATGTGATGATGTGAGAGCTGGAGAATCGTGCGAACCATCAGAAAATACTCGTATGCCATGATAGTATTTTGCAACCAAGAGAAAAAGCAATTTTTGTTTAATGCTACGCACTAAAAGCATGGAACCTTGTAAGCTTCGTTCAGATCAGATCTGCTCCCAGTTTGCAGTGACACGTTAAAGCCACAACTGAGCTGACCCCTGCCCAGCCTTAGAAGCTAGTGTGGCAGTTGCGCAGAATCCATACTTCGACACGAGCATTAGACCGACAGGAAGACCGACCACCATACCGACAGGAATATCCGAGGTCTGCAACTACTGCGTCCTTCAAAAACAGACTCAAACAAACTCACCGAACCCTGTAAGATCAGAACAGATTATTCACAGCAATGTTCCAGTAATCAATACGTAGAGCCCAAAGAACGGCGCCGATAGGTCCTGTATCAATCCTTCTCGTTCCTGATGGTTGGAATTGCACCAGATATTCACGAAACAGAGACAGAGCATGTGAGAAATCGACTACTATGTTTTCTCGACAAAAATACGCTGGTCATCAGAACCGAGGGTAACGAGACGGGGAATGAACTAATCTTCGTTACGGTACAGCGTGATGCATAATGGCTACACGAGATCTTGCTGATACGGTCTGAGATGGGCAAGACAGCTCTTGCTTCCACCGACCTTGTCAACTGCAGTCAGCAAACTCTTGAAACCGTTTCAACTTTCGGCGCGCAAACCAGCCGGTTGCAATCCGATGGTCCTTGGAAGAATCCTCTTCCCTCTGCACGTCCTAGCTGGCAACGGCACCTGAAATGTATCCAATGCATAGCTCTACTCCTAAAAGGCTCTATCTCACTACAAATGAGAGGAGATTTCGGAACAATCGGTGAGAAAGGAAGTTCAAACATCTAGATGAGCAGCGAGATATACCAAGTAGGTCGTCGACCAGCCAAGTAGCAGGTCAGTCTTCGGATCAGAATCTCAGTTTCGTGCAAAAAACCAAGGAAATCCTCTCGCCCAACGAGCTATACCAATCGTAATCGTACATAGCAAATTAGCCCAAGAGCTGAAACCCAGGATGCAACATATCACATTTCAATGAGCGACAAACCACCAACTGCATGAGCACTGCGCCGCACGGACAGAATCGAGACGGCCGGCGGTGGACACGTTCCAAAGCTAATGGTCTAATGCTCACCACTACACAGACGTTTGTAAGGCCCAAAACTGTGTGAAGTCCCACATGCTGCTGCTGCTCTGGATCAACAGAGAATATGGTAATAACCGCCCCACTGTTCTGTTCATTTTCACAAACAACTCATACGACCAAGCTTTTTGGCATGGATCTAATGGCATCTTGTAGGGGAGGGTGTACTTGCCATCCAGGCTACATTCCATGATTCTATTCATGTGGACAGCATCACAATTTTACTGTTTGTGGCTCAATTTTGTTTTGCTTTTATTGCCAGCTTTTCATTCTTCTTTTCATTGATATAGAACCATCTAGTGGCACTAGGCAAGTTTTTCTTTGCAATAAAACACTGTTGACATTGGTAGGTTTACTTTAACTGCTTTCTTTGACTGTGCAGATAATTCATGTGCCCAAAAACAGCAATAGCTTCTTAGGAATGCTATTAATGCTCTGGAGGCTACTTCTTTCAAAGCAACTGATTCAAAAGATTCTCATGTGATATCACTATTCCGCATGCGGCTTTGGTTTTGAATGGTCTGGACAACTTTAGCCACCACCCCTATTGCACCTCTAGCCTTTTCCTAAGTATGGTTAATGGAAATGTCCAACCTAAAGCCAATTTGATTTTTGAGACACCCAAAAACATATCTGATGGCAAGACTCATACCCACAAGTGGCAGAGAAAAATTAGACATTGAAATGTCATTTTTCTTGAGCAAAAGTTGCAGCTTTCTTGGATGGTACAGCCCCTTCATAAATGCCTGCCTTTACATTGTACCACAAAGATAATTTGTTTATGCCACATGATAGTCCAGAATGTGAATTTTTGGTCATCCTTATTATTTTCTAGATTCACGGCATAGAAAGGACAAATAAAGCAATGTAAAGTAGTGGGTGATATTGGTAATGCTTCTTTTGTTTTATAAATTTTTTAGTTGATTTGGTGAAGTGATATTAATGAGATCCTAAGAGTTGGTTCCATGCATGGATGTGTGAATCGTATTGGGGAATGGATCTCTGTCTGTCTGAGTCACTCCATTCTTTGCACAATGTGTGATCATAGTTGAGATAATGTTTTTTGTGAGCATTCCATGGATATGAATTATGTGTAGGACAGTTTTTACCAAAATAGATGCTCTTCATAGAACTTTTAATAACAGTTGGTACTTGGTGGGAAATGCACAATAGTCCTGTGTGTGTATGAAAAACTTTTACTTATGTTTATATTTAAATGATAATTTACAATGAACATTGTCATCCTATCTTTCAAATGACTTTTTTTTTTTTTTGTAATGATGTGTATTTGCTTAACCTGGCTTAAATGCAACATTTTATTTCTGTTCTGAATTGTAAAATGATTAAATTTTATATTATAATCAAATAATATTTTGTAATGTTACTATCTTACTGTTATGATTATTATTTTTATTATTCACAGTGATTGTATGGCTTTCTTGTGTCACCTTGTAATCATCTTTGGTTTAATGGTGGCAAAACAAAGGTAGTTGATACAAGCTAGTTTCTAAACTCAAACTTACAAATAATAATAATGATGATGATGATAGTAATAATAAAATAATTGTGTAAATGTGATTCCTTAATTGGTTTGCAACATGTCAAAGTAACTCATAACAGATCTTAAATATAAACCATATGCCTTTGCAATTCCTAAAGCATGCTTCAATTAGCTTTTAACAGTAAAAATAAATAAAAAATTCATATGCTTCTTATAAAGAATTTTCTGAAGCTTTTAGAAATCTTTTCTTGTTTTCTTTTTCCATACTATGGATTACGTATTAGTATCACTAATAATATATATATATATATATATATATGTATATATTAAAATCAAATAGTTTCTAATAATTTACTTTTGTAATTTTTTTTATTTAATTTTTTATTTTGGGTTAAATTTGCCAATCCCATCTCAATTTCATCGTATTGCAACATTCTTAGAAAAAAATTAATAGAACGTTTAGCTGAAATAAATAAGAGCTTTCATGATTTGCTTTCTCTTTTTCTTTTTTAATATTGTTCTCTGATTTTTTAATATTCAAATAATCGATACCATTTATGCAAGTATCTATTTATATTCATTTTACAATGTTGACTTTAACAAAGTTGAGCTTTTGAATTGGTAAGTTGCATAGTGCATGTATGCATCAATATGTATATATATATATATATATATATATACACATATATGGAGGGTTCTTGTAAAAATGTTCATGAAATTGAGTGGCACATGGAAAACATAAATGAAATAATAGTCAGATATGACCTCATGATTTGGTCCAAACACAGAAAACACCTCCAGAGACTTCATCAACGAAAATAAGTTTTAAAATAAAAAAAAATGGTAGCAGTATTAGATTTTCGTTCCGGGAGGGTAGCAACAATGCATGTACATAATAGTAGTTTGTGAAGAATAATCTGACCAGGAAAATGCGGAGTCTTGAATTTCTTGATGGTTGATTTTTTGACACCAATTCGGAGGAAGACAAGAGAAATAGCTGTGGTTCAAATATATTTCAGATATTAATAGAAACCAGATTTCAAAATGTGACTGTATGAATATACAAGAGCGACCAGATCCCTAAGCAAATTGATGCTAATTAAAGCTTTTTTGAATCCCGTAGCAAGACCAAGTGTACTCTGTAGTGGCAGATATTGAAAAGTCCAAGTGCAAGAATTAAATTTGTTTTACTAATTCTGGGGCACAATCGACAACGAATGTTTGAGCCCCATCCCAAGCTATAATTCAACACAGAACCCATATGACCATAAATAGAAAATACACTCCAACCTTCTTCTTAATTTTATTTTTTCAATTCACCGTGTCTATCTACATACAAAGGAACTCGCATGAGCTCTTGCGAACTGGCGCGTGTTTAATGCACAGTTGTAATTTGTTTTAACTTCATAATACGACCTCAGAGAATCTGAACTCGAGATTCAACGATAAACACAGAGTATAATATACGACAAAACAGTATTCCCCACACGTGCAGATTCGTACGTATTCATTCACAAATACCATTGACGAGGATGGTTTTACTTACCACATTCCATCACTTTTCCAGTGGATGTGATCACAATAAAAGCCCACATCAAACTGTCTTAGTGAGTAAGTGCGGCTTAAAATTCTGCCCTAGATTTGTGCACGGTGCTCAAGACATTCTGCTCAGAATGCTCCTCCAATCACCTTGAGCTCCTTCAGCAATCCAAAGAAACAAAGCAGAAAAAACGAAAAGCGCCATTCTTGATAAATACTAATACTACCAAACAACGATGAGCTCCATGGCAATGGGTTGAGAAGGCACTGGCCAGGCATGGCAGTGAAGAACGTGGCGTCGAGGCAGGAGAGGTGAGCCGAGCTTGTGCTGTGAGCAGACCTGCAGCTGTGTGTGTGTGTGTGTGAGCGTGTGAGAATGGTCCTCGCCGCTCTGCGTCCAGGACAATCACAGAAACCAAGCAAGGTTTTGTGAGCTGAGCTGGACGGGACAACCCACAAACATAGCTTGTAGAGGGTGGAGTCAATGGGGAGAGCAGACGGCGGTGACTCGTTTGAGCACTCACGAACTTTAACTTATGAATTAGTCTTGCTGCGCTGGTACCAACGCACCAACTGCCCATCATTATGCGCGCAAGTACCCTACTCTTCTCGCGCGCTCCCGCTCCCACGCGTCACTTACTCAGCTGGTAGTGCAATTACTTGGAAAGGAAAAAGGAAAAAAACAAACAAACAAACAGCTTGGGTATATCATTGTTCAACTTCTTCTTCCTCACTCATTTCAACTTCATGGTTGGAATGTTTCTATGCTATGCGTCTTGTGCATGCTCTCCATTGTTGTGCTATTCTTGTGTTGTATTCCTGGCGCCGTCACGGATTGGGGATATTCTCATACTTGCGGCAGCTTTGAGCTGCTTGGTTCATTGTTAGTTCTGCGTCACAACGGTCATCTCGCGGGGGGGCAGTAATTTTGGTGCAGTCTCCATGCTGGATTGGCGCATGTCGTATCGAGTCTGCTGCTGTGTGACTGGGTTGTGGTTGAACATATTCTTTTGGGTTGGCGAGTGAACCGCCTACAGCACGCGTCCTGTCAGCCGCCGCTGCAGCTGATGGGCATCGGTCTGAGAGAGGTCGTGGAGCAGATCCGATGTGCTTGATTTACAGAGCAGATTTGAGAAATGGGAATCTGGCAGCTTTTTGCTCAGCTGTTTCATTCTATGTCCTGTGTTGCCTGAAGCTCTGCGTGTGGCAACTGCAGCGGCGTGCGGCGTGCATCGCACATAGTACATGTCGCTTGAAAGCAATGGTCTTGGACGTGCACGGTTGCAGGGTTGAGAGCTCCCACCAATTTATGCATTCGCCTGACAACTTACATGAGCTGTAGTTGTTTGAAAAATGGTCGATACATACATACATGTGCTCGATCCGATTGCGACTTTGCCGAACGCTAGCTTCAGTGACATGAGCGAGTATTAGAGCACTCTTGTTAGACGCCAAGAGAGCTGGGCGATGATGAAACTGTAGAGGACAATGGCGGACCTACAGTCAATGTTGTTAAGAACTAGCTATCCTTGATCCTCTTCCCATATTTTAGTACCTGTAGTGTATGCACCAACGCGGTATCAGTTTCGATTCATCGCCATTAAGCAGTGCTGGCAATTTGCTTTGGCAATCTCGGTTACGGACATTGGCCAGCTTGTCAACTACTCATCGTTGTGATGCGAGTCTCATGAAGCCCGTGGGAGAGGATCCCTCCTGTGGAATTCTCTGTGCTGAACATCGACAATCCTCAAAACGCAGCCAGAAGCAATCCGACAGGAATGAAACAAGCACGAAGTTCTCGCGGTGGTTGCGTGTCATCGGTCGACTTTGGAGAAAGAATGAAGTGCGGCAGGATTGCACCTTTCAAGATAAGGACGAGCCGTCCTCACTCAGGATCGTAGAGCAAATCAAGCCGACCCCGAGGAAGGCGGTCGAGCCCAGCTGCGACATCCGACGGAAGCGTAGCCGATATGCTGTGCGATATGCGGCACAGGTGCCTTCCGAAGAGGCCCGGGTATCACAAGAGCTAGCACGAGTAGCTGACACAGCCAGCAAGCGGAATCCATGCAAGGATTTGTCAGGTATTGGAAAGTCTCATTGGGATGGCGAGCACAACGATTCCTCCATTGGCCATGGCGAGCTCGTTAAGCCAGGCTTGGTGCCCATGCCGGGTTTCTGCACCTCAAATGTAGACCATGGCGAGGGTCTAGGCCACCATCTCGACCCAGTCCCATCGTTACATTTTATTGAAAACCTACAGGATACGAAGAAGCGTTTGTTTCTGTCAGAGCAGGTGGATTGCGACGACCTTGCACAAGAGGTCAGGATAATTCGAGAGTGTGAGAATGTCGTTGCAGAGCTTTGCGCAAAGAAAGGGAAGGAGCAAGGGGTGGTTGCTGCGGAGGCAAGGTTGCTGGCGGAGGATCACCCTGTCGCACGGGCGACACTGGCTACTCTTGGAGCCATCTTCCCGCTAGTCGCAATGCTGGACTCCAGCTCCATGTTCTGTGCGCATTCAGCTCTTCTGGCACTTCTCAGCCTAGCCGCTGGCAACGACCTCAACAAAGCTGCCATCGTCGACGCAGGCTCGGTCCCCAAGATGGTGACCTACCTCCAAAACCCTAAACCATCAATCCAGGAAGCGGTCATCGCGGGCTTCCTGAGCTTATCTGCTCTCGACCGCAACAAGCCCCTTATCGGCGCCTCGGGGGCTGTCCCCCGACTTGTCCATGTGCTCAAATGCGGCTCCACTAACCGCATTCGCACCGACGCGCTGCGAACGCTTTACAACCTCTCTCTTGCGCAATGCAACATCAAAGTTCTCGTTGAGGGGGGCAACCTTCGAGTCATACTCGAATTGGTGAAGAATCCTCCGAACGCCGAGAAAGCTCTGGCAGTGCTGGGCAATGTAGTCGGTGTTGCAGTCGGTCGCAAAGCATCTATGGAACTCCCAGACGCAATTGAGACTCTGGTTGAGATTCTCGGCTGGGGCGAATACCCCAAGTGCCAGGACCGAGCCGCGTATGTTCTCATGGTTGCCGCACATCACAGCTACGCTCATCGACAAGCTATGGTGCGAAAGCGAGCCGTCCCTGCCCTTCTGGAAGTGTCGCTCCTCGGCAGCGCGTTAGCGCAGAAGCGAGCTGTGAGTATTCTGGAGTGTTTGCGGGAGGATCGAGCACAAGGGCGCCCGGTGTCAGCGCCCATGGGACTGCCCCCGAGAGGCACCCAACAACAGCGGCTGTACATGATGCGCACAGACAGCTTACACAACATCGGTGAGGGAGATATCAACATTGTGAACCGTATGGCGCAGCAGAGCCTGGAGCAAAACTTGCTGAAAATTGTGCGCCGGGCTAAAATTCCTGTAGCTGCGGATTTAATGAAAGCAGACAGGATGAGATCGCTTTCGCTCCCGGGACTCTCAAGCCTGAAAAGTCTCCCGTTATGAATGTATGTTGCGTTTCTTCCCTCCGATCTCGCATTTTGCATTACACCCATGTCAAACTTAAGCAACTGGACATGATTCTCAACAATTGGATTTTGTTCGCAAGTTTTTATCTGGTTGTTGGAGCGCATAGATAATACAGGCAACAGCTCTGACAACGGCTTCACAATCTAAGGGGTACGTTTGCACTGTTGGTGTTCTGAGTAGCACACTTTTTTTTGTTTTTTGTTTTTGTTTTTTGTTTTTTGTTTTGTTTTTGTTTTTTTTTGCGACTAAAAACACCAATCAAGAGAATTGTTAAGTCCAGTCCGTTTGCATTGCCTCAACTGCGTTCCGGAGGGTATACATGGAGAACGCGCCTGGATCTAATGCATGAAAATGAAAATCTGTATCGATGAGTAGGATTACTCAATCACAATCTTGAGGACTTAACCCAAATTCTGCATATCATTCTGTATACTCTTTAACTCTGGAAATTGGCAATCTTACTCACATTGCAGTGGCTTGAAGTCCAGCGCTATGCTGATCCTGTATGGAATTATGCCCCAAATTGAGAATATCTTTGTTCTGTGAACACCATCCCAAGGTGCATGAGAAAATGTCAGTCTCATTTGCGTTGCTGAACTTCTGCACTGTGTAATGCCAGAATCGTAACGTGGTTGTTGAGCTTGGTGTGCAAGTGTACAGGTGATTAACATCGTCGATTTCTTACGAGTTTGATGCACCAGCGCTGTGATGGAGCTAACGATTATAGCCTATTGTGTGTATATGTGTTTATATCAATTTGTCTAAATCTTGCACAGCTTCCAGAGGATGCCTTCCAGTTAGTTACCACGGTGGGGCTGAGCTTGCCAGACTCAATGCACTGGTTGCATGCCAAAGGGTCTTCATTTCCAAGCAATAGAATGGTTAAATAATTTCAATAACTCAATAATTGCGACATTGCCACCACGTCGACACCCAGTCTTGTGACTTACCAGCCTCGTGTGAATAATGAATTATTCAAAACTATTATTGCTTAAAATCTGGACTTTTGGGTAGGCAGAAGATACCAAAATAACACAGTTTGTTTCATGTTGACTGTTTGGTAGCCGGTACTTGGAAATGGACGAGTAATTTAATTTCCAAATATGGTGTGTGGGAGAATGTGTTTGCTAAATTATCTGAAACATGATATATTAAATGTTACAACATGAGGTTGTTGGTGTTGTGTTTCAACTTTGGCTATATGGTAATATGATGGACTATTGAGGATAGTGGTTCTGGTTTCATTAACCATTGTTTTCATCTTCGTTTTATATTGGTTTTGGACAGAGGGTTTATCAAGCCATTGTTTGGTTGTTGAAACTTGTTATTTTTTCCTAAGTAAAGTATTATATTTTGATATTATTACTTTTTTTACCAAAATGAAAATGAAGGGTTTCAAAGAAAAAGTAGATATGGAGTGATTGAAATGACACATGCAATAGTTAATTTGTTTACAGTATTAAGTTTAATAAGAATTTGTCAGCATTCAATATGTACATATATATGTGCCATCAAAAATGATTTTTTGATAAGGAATTGTTTGTTCAATTTTCTTTAATTTTCTTGGTTTCAATAGATTGAAATAGATTGAAACTATATACCAGGAAAAAATTCACTCAAAAATTCCACATACTCTGTGATAACAAATGTTTATCAAGATGTATTACATAGTCATAAAGATACAAACTAAAATACATACAAGTTATATATATATATATATATATATATATATATAAAGTTTAATTATATTTATAATATAATTATAGATGGAATATCTTTTTATTGTGTGTTTCTGAAACATAGTTTTGATAGATTGTAGCATTTTTTATTTAAATAAAAATAAAAAGTTCATAATATGTTTCATCTATGTTTTGTTTTGCTTGTTCTTTTTATACATACATATATTTGTATATATTTGTTTGTATATTTACATATATTTATAAATTTATATTGTATTATATGTTTTGCAACGAGTAGTTTCCTTTTCTAAGAAGGAAACTCAGTTTTTAAAAAGGAAACTACTAGGTGCACATTTCTTTTTTATTGCATGGAAACCCCTTGTGCCACACCCTCACGTACACACAGTTAAACTCTTATTTACACTAAAAAGTTTATGATAAATTTACAGTAAAAGATTTCTTGAATAAAATGAATAAGCTTTTTAAAGAAAATGAAAGAATTACAATGAATATACTATGGTTTTTTTAAGAAAAAAGAAGCCATAAGCTATTGCACACAGATGTTTTATTGTAAATTTACTCCAAAACTTTTTGGTGTAAATAAGAGTTTAATTGTACATATGTTGTGGCTCAAGGAGATGTCCATGTAAAAAAGGGAGGTGTCCACCTAGCAATTCTCTTAAAACATTATTTCATAGCTGAAAATATTTTCCATAAAAGTAATTTTATGTGTGATTTTTAGTAATAATTATATTGGATTATTTAATAGAAGTAGTAATAAAAAAATGACACTATCCTGTCTCATAAAAATTTATCTTAAATGTTTTTATTTATTTATTGCATTTTCTTCTTTATCATATCACCCTTCTCAATACGATTTTTTAATATAATTTTTATGACTCATTTGTAAATTTTGTAAATCCTGATAATTGTCTTTATACACCAATATATTGTGTATAATTCTTTTTGGGTTTCAAAATCAATTGAGCTGATATCTAATTCAAACTTAAAAGTGATTTTTTATTATTATTTTATTATTTTATATTAATTTACTAAGTTTTGTTACAACTATTATTAATAATAAATAGGTAGGAGCTTACCTGCCAAAAATGACCTAATAAGAATAAAACATCTTAAAAAGAACAAAACAAAATAGATCTTGTAAACCTCCAAGATAAAAACAAATTGACATCTACTTTGATAAAAAATTAATATTCAGATGATATGACACTAAAGACTTGATTTTTCAATGCAAAATAATAACATTCCAGATATTATTAAATTTAATATTATTATAATATGATTATTCGTAATAGTAGTAAAATAATTTAAAAAATTAAAATTGTAATAAAACATTTTTCACTAAAGTGATGGGATTTTTTTGAAATAGTAAACAATTTATACAAGTTAACACTACAATGATATATATATATAAAATTAGATGCATTAAATTTGTATAAAGATATCAAAAACCTTAGTTTGTTTTTTTAAAGTACTAAAATTCTATCAAATATAATTATTTTATATTTTTTTACATAATTTAAATAAAAAATAATAAAAAAGTTAGTTTTTTTTAATCAACGTTAAAAATATTTTTATAATAGATCAAGAGCTAATTAACTGTTATTTAAACCTAATAATTTGTATTCTTACTTTTATAAAAATAATTTATTTTAAAATTTATTCTATAATATACACACACACATATACATGTTTTGATATATATATATATATATATATATATACATCTAAACATATTAAAAATAATGAAAATAATGTAAAATTAATTACATTTTTTATATTACTTTATTTAATAATTAATTAAAAAAATAAAACTTTCTTACAAATTGTTTTAAGTAAATTTCATAAATAGTAGTATCAATTTGATCTATTAAATTTTATTTAAATAAATTTTTTTATTAATATTTGTAACAGCTTTTTATTTTCTATTTATTTTGTTTTTATAATAATAACACTATAAAAAATTTAACATCATGTTTTTGTAAAAATAAATATATGTAAAATATAATAGGGTGAATTATGTCTTTGTATAACTATTTATTTCAAATTTATTCCAGATAAAAATCATTAAACTAATAAATGGTTTAATTGTCTAGAATAAATTGGTGATTGTGTATAACTAATCAAATATAGAATAAAAAATTATTTATATATATATATATATATATATATATATATATATATATATAAATTTAAATTTATTTTACTTATTAATGTTTCTAACTTTGTTATATATTGATTAATTTTTTTAAAAAATAAATAGATTAAGAAATAGGTAAATTAATTTTTATAATTTAAATTATAATTTAAATTTGATAAGTAATTTAGTTTATATATATATATATATATATATATTCATAGATATAAATAAATAAATAAATAAATATTTATATTATAATTGACCAGTATTTGTGAATTATCAGCATATAAGCTTATAATTAATAGATTATATTAGATAAAGTTTTATATTAATCCTTATTTAAATACATCTTTTTAAAATAAAATTAAATATTATATGTATTATACATAGGGGAATGATAAAGCAATCCAAATTTTTACTAAAGCAATCCAAATTTTTACTAAAGCAATCCACTCTTTGTTAAGCATGATTGCACTTTTGGAGCCCCCATCCCTATTCTTTGCCGTTCTCCATTCCCAACCGTTGCTAGGAATGGAGGTGGGATTGGGAAGAAGGCATGTTGATTGATTTAGTAAAAATTTAGGTCACTTTATCATTTTCCTCTCTCTTTCTCTTTATATATATATATATATATATATATATGTGTGTGTGTGTGTATAATAATAAATAATAATTTACTATTCAAAAAAATAATTTATAGTCATATTTTTGTAATTTTTTCAATTATTTATAATTTTATAAATAAATAATCTCATATTTTTTATGTTTATAAAAGATTATTATGGTATATAAGAGCTTAGTTTTATAAAAATAATCTATATTTTATTTATACGTATTATTATATTAAACAAAAAATATTATATCATAATCATTAGAATTTCTTATCTATGAATATGTTAATATCATTTTTATTGTTCCAATGTGATTATATAATGATCATGCAAGAGTATATTGTACAAAGCACATCATTTATTTTTTTATAGTACTACATGCATATATTTCTTTGTATTCTATAGTTGTACAATGACAAGTTTTATCAAATTTGTAAATAGATATAAATATCAAAGACTGTATTTTTGTTTGAGTAATTTATGATTTTTTTTGCAAAAAAGTTAGAATTTTAATCATTAAAAATGAATTATCTTTAAAATGATTTCATTATTTATTAAAAATAATAGACATTTTTTTATTTATAATTTCTGATAAATAAGATTTGGCTATCAATTCTAGAACTTAAATTAAAATATACTTTGTTTTACCATATAATTACAAGAAATTATGATAATTATTTTTTCAATAATAATTCTTATAACACTATGTAAGTCTTTAAGACAACATAAATTATAGGTCATTGACTATGAAAATTATTAAAAAAAGAAAATCTAAAATTTATGATTTTTTTAACAAGAACAAAAGTTTCATTAAATAACTAACACTACTTGTATTATATTATTTTGTAGAGAAACTAACATACAATTCTTTAAAGAATAGTATAATATTCTTTGCAACAATCTTAAGTAATCATATAATATATACATAAAATCTATTAATTTTTGATTACTAAACCAATCTATTACTATTCAAAACCAAATGTAATTTAATTCTATTCAATTTTATTGCTCTTATTAATTAACTTAAGTATTAATATTATACATAAGTAATATTAGTTAATATAATCAAAAAAATCCAATAAAACTATAAAAATATATTATATGTATTTATAAATTTTTAATAAATAAAAACCAATAAAATATAATGTTAATATTATATATATATATATATATATATATATATAACCTTATTTACTCTTTTTTGTGCAAACCACACCAACCTGTACTGAATTGGATCAACTTTATTGGAATTATATAAGAGGTACCTTCATTGGGTTGAGTGCAACTTCTTCTCTCTTTCTTTTTGTCGCTTAGATATTGATCTCTATTTAGATGAGGTATTTTTGTTTTAGAAAATCTAATCAAAGAAAGAATTGCAATATTTTTTAGTAATTATTTTCTTTAGAATCTTGATAAGTTTCTTTCTATGTCTTTGTGCATTATTTTGTGAAATATATTCAATATAATAATTATAAATTTAAAACAAAATTACTATAAATAAACTTTGATAAAATATTTCAGTTATTAATTTTTTTTGTTGATCTTACTGTTGCTTTTGTAAGGTAGTAACATTAATTTAATTAAAATAATATTAGGTTATTTATTTATTTTTTTAATTGATTTTTTTATTACTAAGATAACTCTAATTGCT